AGCACGAGCCGCGGTCCACCGACTCCGTCCCGGGCATGTAGCACGCCGCGTCGTCGTTGCACGTGCCACACCTGAAAACCACCACGTCCTCCGGAAACACGCCGTCGTACGACACCTCCTCATCGTCCTGCAGGTTGCATCCAACCACAAACCGCGCGGGTGACGTCAAGATAGTGCTCCGTGGAAGAAGCATGGCAAAGACAGTGTTTCCGCCCACCTGACGGTTGTGTGAAAGCACCACGGTGGTGCCGCTGCCCGACAGCTGAATTTTGTACTGGGGATACAGAATAGATAATACTGAGGCTGCACCCACGCTGTTGCCCTCCACACGCCACTGCGCACCTCCCTCGAGGGTCACCGAGCCAGACAAATGCAACAGCGCGGGATCAAAAGTTTCCGTCCCGCCAACGAAGGTGCAGTCCGCCACTCGCAGCAGCCCCGCGGAGCTCACGGTGTTATCCCCAAAAAGAATAACGCCATTGACCGCGCTCATCGTGTTGTTCTCCACGTCAATGAAGCCGCCGTTCCTCACATCAACAGCGTAAACGTAAACAGATGATTCCACACCGTCATCATCCTTCGTTGCGCTCAGCGTATTTCCTTTCAAAATAATCCCGCCACCATCAACAACAACAGCAGCGGAGAAATAAATTGCGTACCAGCTCCCCTCGATGTAGTTGTCGAGCAGCAGCAGCGTCATATTCGCACTGAGAGTAAACTTCACAAATAAAATGGCATGGCCCGACATCGTCACAATCGTACTGCCCACCACCAGTATTTGGGAGCTCACGCCAAAATCACCCTGAAACACCAACACTCCGGAATCCATCATCGAGGAGACCACGCTCACGTGCACGCGCGCACCACTACCCTTGATCAACAGGCCCACAAGGACGCAATGTAACAGCGTGATGTTGAGTGTCTGTTGTGGTGCGTCGAAGCTCCACAGGTCCAGCACAATCGCGGCGGTGAAGGTCACGTTGACGAAGCACAGACCACGCACACCGGGATCAGGATAGTCCACGGAGCCGATCCTGCCACCGTGCACGCAGCGGACCTCCGTGTCGTCCGCTTCGGGGAGCGGGAGCGGCCCAAGGCCGTCCGGAACAGCAGCTGGCAGACACGTGTCACCGTAGCCGCCAGCAGCGCATACACACTCACAGCCGCTGATGCTGCTCGTCCTCGCTGCGAAGCACACGGCGTCCACGGTGCACGCGCCACAGTCCAGCACCGTCACGGGCGTCCCAATATTGAGCTCTTCTCCGTAATCCGTCACAGGAGAGCCCCTTGCCTCGTTGCACACGCCGTAGATGATCGGGTGCGAGTCGGATGGTGGTGACCAGTTGCTTGTCATACTTACAATGGTTGACGAGTACGAGCCATACGTGAAGTTGTTGCCAAGTATCGACCAAACACTCCGATCGCGGAACGCAACGCCGTTCTCGTTGGCCACGTACACAACGTAGGCGGTTCGGAACTCGTTGTCGTGGTGCACCAGCCAGCTGCCGTCAGCCACGGTCAGCG